CCACTTTGTGTTGGTCTTTCACATTAAATTCCAGTGAAATATATTTGTTTGTGGTTGTAATGTGACAAAATATGGAAAAGTTCAAGGGGTATGAATACTTTTGCAAACCACTGTATATAAATTGAAGTTAGGGCTGGACAGTGTGACAAAAATTTATATCACGATATAGCTCCTAATTTCTGTCGGTACAATATAATTTTGATATAGACAAGAATGATGAAAACGTCAGAAAAAAAAACTTCCAATAACACCAATATTTACTGTACTTACAAACCTGATATCATTTACGATCTAAAGATTTAAGAATTAAAATTATAAGTCAGAACAACGTTCTTTAAAACAGGCATCTAGAAAACTAGAGAGAAAATGGTGCTCCACTAACAGAATAATCTTATTTAACCTGGAGAGACAGCCTGCTAACGTATAAGAAAGCCCTTCGTAAAGCTAGAACTGTCAATTTTTCATCCTTAATAGAAGAGAATAAAAACAATCCCAGGTTTCTGTTCAGTACTGTTGCTAGACTATTGAAAAGTCCTATCTGTTGAGCCATGTATCCCTTCATGAGATTCTTTATAGATAAAATAATTTTAATAAGGAATAAAATTCATGCCAAACTTCCTGCTAATGTCTCTGATTCTCTGTCAGATGAGGCAGCTTTAGTGTCACTAGAACCTGATTTATGTTTGGACAGTTTTTGTCCTGTTGAGCTCTCTGAATTATCTAAAATAATAGCTTCATTCAAACCATCAACATGTCTGCTAGATCCCATCCCAACCAGACTGTTCAAAGAAGCTTTTCCCTTAATTAATATTTGTATTTTAGATGTACTTAATTTATCTTTAATGAATGGTTATGTGCCACAGAGCTTTAAGGTTGCTGTAATTAAACCTTTTACTTAAGAAACCTGATCTTGATTCAGGAGTTCTGGCCAACTGTAGAACTATATCTAATCTCCCATTCATCTAAAMAATTCTTGAGAAAATAGTTGCAGATCAATTATGTGAACATCTGGATAGAAATAATCTATATGAGGAGTTTCAGTCAGGGTTTAGAGCTCATCATAGCACAGAAACAGCACTGGTTAAAGTTACCAACGCTATTCTCATGGCAGACAGTGGACTTGTGTCCATTCTTGTCCTGTTAGATCTCAGTGCTGCATTTGATACAACTGATCACAATATTTTATTACGTAGACTTGAACTTGATATCGGGATTACAGGAACGGCTCTAAAATGGTTTGAGTCTTATTTAACTGATAGATTTCAGTTTGTTAATATTAATAATGAATCTTCTTCTGACACCAGAGTTAGTCATGGAGTTCCTCAGGGTTCAGTGCTTGGACCAATCCTCTTTACTTTATATATGCTTCCTTTAGGTAAAGTTATTAAACAGCATGGGATAAATTTCCATTGTTATGCTGATTATACTCAGTTATATTTATCCATGAAACCTGATSAATCCAACCAGTTACTTAAACTACAAGCATGTCTTACAGACATAAAAACATGGATGACTCTAAACTTTCTACTTCTAAACTCAGATAAGACAGAGGTTATAGTTTTTGGACCTGAACATCTTAGGGATCAAATTTGCAGCCTTTCACCTCGTCTGGATGCATTAATCTGGCCTCCAGTTCTAATGTAAAGAACCTTGGTGTTATTTTTGATCAGGATATGTCTTTTAAGCCCCACATTAAAAATGTTACCAGGACCGCCTTCTTCCACCTGCGTAATATCACTAAAATTAGAAACATCTTGTCCAAAAACAATGCACAGAAACAGATCCATGTGTTTATCACATCTAGGCTGGACTACTGTAATTCTTTATTATCTGGGCATCCAAAAAACTCTTTAAGAAGTCTTCAGT